CAATAAGCCTAGAAGATGCGTTGCACCACAAAAAGTCTCTTAAGCGCAGCATAATAATCTATTGTATCAGGTTGAAGATGACAATACCAATTGAGAGGTCCCACAGATAGAATGAAAGGGAAAATAAGACATTGTTCTTCATTACTATGCCTCGGTATGCCATGGTGGATTCAAAGAGATGGATATTTTCAATTGGATCTTCCCTCCCAATTTATGAAAGCAAACCAAGCTTCTGTTTTGTTTCTCCTTGTAAAGGGGTGCCAAAAATCCTACTTGCTAGAGGGCCTGGCCTCGGCTGATTCTAGTCAGGCTCTTAAATGTATATTTTATCAACTTAGGCGTGATTACTTTGCCAAATCCCCATTGTGCTCATTTACTTTTGTAATCATGTCGTTACCTAGTTATTTCCAAAACCACTGGGTTTACAAATTCAATATTAAAACTCTCACAAGAAGAAAAAGATCAAGACTAAATTCTTCATCTTTATCGGTTACGTACTTACGTAAAGAATTTTGTTCATAAATTTCTACTTTTTTGTTCGGTCAAATAATTATCTACTGTTTGAACAATACTCGGTAGCTAATCTACCGTATTCAACTTCAAAAGTTATGCCTTCAATAGTTGGACAGACATAATATAAATAAGAAGATAAATGACTCTTTGTTTCCTAATGCAGTTAACGTTTTCTTTTGCTGGAAAACTCAAGGGTAACTCATGGATTGATCATTTCAAATTAAGATGAGATTGATCGAACAGTTGTGTACATTATCTTACTTTTCAACTCAAGGAATAATTTTTATTGTATAAATAATGTATTTTTATATGTATAGTATAAGTTATTAACTTTTTAATCTTAATTTGAATATCATATATACAAAGAACTATTCAAATTGAAGACAGTTTAGTTATCCAAATATGTCAATAAAATGAATAATTCATTATAAATCTTTTACTTAGTATTAATACTGCTGATTGGGTTCGTATATTTAAATGACTAAACGATCTCATATTCAAATAATTCTTTTTGTTTTGATGATCTTCAAATAAAGATTAAGAAACTAAACCATCACGATACAAAATTTGTAGAATATGTGTATTCCTCATTGGTGGAACGCAAGGATTATCCATTCTTTTACGTACGTACGCACGCACCTTTTGGGCACCTGAAATGTATTTTATACATGCAGTTAGCATCCATGCATGAATTATAATGTTGACATCTTCCTTGCGTGTGTAGTAGTACTCTTACGTATATGCATGTGTGTATATTTCAGTATGAAGGGGCAGTAAAAGAAGATGGAAGAGGACCAAGCATATGGGATACCTACACCCACAAACATCCAGGTCTGTGATTTAATCAATTGGTAATTAACATGAAAACTTTAGCTGCTTCATTTCAAAGGAGTATAAATAGCACCTCATTCTTTTCTTCGTGAGCACAAGTAAACTCCAACCTCTCTAATAACCATGCACTTTGTTGGGAGACCAATAGTACGTGGTCATGTGATATGTACAATATATGTATATACTTCATCAATGTGCACGCATATAAAGTACTTTGCACATGATATGGATTTCACCATTATGTTTTTGAATAACCGCAGAAAAAATCGCTGATGGCGGTAACGGAGACGTTGCTATAAATCAATATCACCGCTATAAGGTCTAGAACCTCATAACTGTGTCTCTTGACCCTTTATACTTGAAGGACACATGTTTAACATATTAAATTGGAGCCTTTATAAAAAAAGAAAAAAAAAAAAAGGACAATGTTTAATGAGATCCTCAATATTTAATTTTAAACTTTTGTCATTCTAGGAAGATGTGGGGATTATGAAGGATATGGAGTTGGATGCTTACAGATTCTCTATTTCGTGGTCCAGATTATTACCAAGTATTATTCTCTTTGTATACTTTTAACTAAAGTAATGTGATTGAGTTATCTACTGGGGGACCCTTTTTTTTTTTCTTGCTATTTTTGTTCTAATTAGATGGAACGTTAAGTGGTGGCGTTAACATGAAAGGAATTGATTATTACAACAATCTCATCAATGAACTCCTACGCAATGGTTAATTATCCTACCTTAAACAATTATTACATGATTTTTTAGAACATCATTCTATCAGACTTTTAATTTGATTTTACTGATCATGTATTACAGGTTTAAAGCCATTTGCAACACTCTTTCATTGGGATGTTCCCCAAGCTTTAGAAGATGAATATGGTGGTTTCTTAATCCTTATTATTGAGTTGTAATACAAGAGGGAATACTCTTGGTAGTAAGATAATCTAAAGGTTGAATCTTTATTTTGATGTTGACATGTGTCGTGTTGTGATTAGTCTCATGATTGGGGAGGAACTCGTGTGCTTCAGTAAGGGTGCCTCCATATGAGCTCTTCAATGGGCCTTTGAAGGTAAGGAGTTGACCGGTGATTGGTAGTTTCGGGAGTAATGAAGTACGGTACAAACAACAAATATCAAATTTTCCTAAAGCTCTTAAATGTATATTTTATCTATTTAGACGTGATTACTTTGCCGAATCCTCGTTGTGCTCATTTACTTTTGTAAATCTCGTTGTTCCCTTCGAATCCATACATTATGAGCCAAAAATGACAATAACATAGCCACGTTAACTCGAACAATTTAAACAGTCCAAAACATAAACTTTGGGGAATATGACAATGATAAATAACCTATTAACCTATAAAATAACAATTCTTCTGTGATTTTTCTTAATTCAATGTCGGTCCCTTCTTTAATTTTATTGCGTCACCTAATTTTAACTTATATTAGTTATAACACAAGAGTGGTCCTTGTGGCTGGGGTTAACTATAACATGCAACTGTGAAAAAATTAAAGCCCCTGGCTCTTGGACGGGGTTATCCTATAAAAAGATCCACTTGTCATACAACTATTGTATTGAAAGATATATCATTCGACGAAGAGGAAGAAATGGATAAAAGGAATTCTATAAATTAGAGATGAGGAACACTAGAAGGAAGAATATTTTATATTTTAAAAAATACAGTTACACTATATTTTGTTATGCATAAAAAAAATCGAATGAGTAAAAAAAAAAATACAAACAGATGTCACGTTTCACGATATATAGTAGTGGGGGATTATGGGACAAAAACTAATTCCATTTGGCATGGTGCTAGAACCTTGTTTCAATATGTTTTTGCTAGTATTGATCCAGATTTAGATGCTCAAGTGGAATTTGGAGCACTCCAAAAACTTTGAGATCCAGCTACAATAAGACAAGTAGTCTCATACAATATGCTTTGTCACTTGTTGCTTTTGTGCTTTTTCGAAAAAAAAATTAGAAAAATTAGAAAATTAAAGACAAAAAATTAGAAAAATTAGAAAAATTTGAGAAGGGGGGGTCAAACTTTTGTGTTTTTGAATTATAAAAATATATATAAACGAAAAATATTAAATCAAAATAAATAGATGTAAACTAATTAAAAACGAGTCTCTTGAAACTGCTAATCAATTTCTTGTACTACCAAGAAGAAGCCACCCCAATGTGTATTGTTTCACAATGTTTAGGAGGAGAATAGCCAATTTGAGAACCTAGCTATTTCGATGACTTCTTAATTAGCGTGGAAAGACAATTTCACAAAACCACTGGGTTTATGGATTCAATATTAAAACTCTAACAAGAAGAAAATGATCAAGATTAAATTCTTCATCTTTATCGATTATGTACTTACGTAAAGAATTCTGGTCATAAATTTCTACTTTTTTGTTGGGTCAAATAATTTTCTATTGTTTGAATAAGTCTCTATAGCCAATCCTCCATATTCAACTTCAAAAGTTATGACTTGGTCTTTAAACTAGGACTTTCAAAGCCAATTTTGTTTACAAATTTTAACCCTTTACTATTCTCATTCTTGTACTTGCAAGAAGAATGTGTTACTACTATACTTTGAAGGGTGTCCAAACCTTCTTAAAAGCCACCTCAATGTTATCCTTTCACAATCTTTAGGAGCAAAATAGCCAACTTGAGAACCTAGTTATTTCCAAAACCACTGGGTTGACTTCAATATTAAAACTCTCACAAGAAGAAAAAGATCAAGACTAAATTCTTCATCTTTATCGGGTCTGTACATACGTAAAGAATTTTGTTCATAAATTTCTACTTTTTTGTTCAGTCAAATAACTATCTACTGTTTGAACAATTCTCTGTAGCTAATCTACCATATTCAACTTCAAAAGTTATGCCTTCAACAGTTGGACAGACATAATATAAACATGAAGATAAATGACTCTTTGTTTCCTAATGTAGTCAACGTTTTCTTTTGCTGGAAAACTCAAGGGTAACTCAAGGATTGATCATTTCAAATTAAGATGAGATTGATCGAACAGTTGTGTACATTATCTTACTTTTCAACTCAAGGAATAACTTTTTTTGTATAAATAATGTATTTATATATATATATATATATATATATATATATAGTACAAGTTATTAATTTTTTAATCTTAATTTTGAATGTCATATATACAAAGAACTATTCAAATTGAAGACAGTTTAGTTATCCAAATATATCAATAAAATGAATAATTCATTATAAATCTTTTACTTAGTATTAATACTGTTGATTGAGTTCATATATTTAAATGACTAAACGATCTCATATTCAAATAGTTCTTTTTGTTTCGATGATCTTCAAATAAAGATTAAGAAACTGAACCATCACAATACAAAATTTGTAGAATATGTGTATTCCTCATTGGTGGAACGCAAGGATTATCCATTCTTTTACGTACGTACGCATGCAACTTTTGGGCACCTGAAATGTGCTTTCTTTTAAACTACAGACCTTGACTTGGTCTTTAAACTAGGACTTTCAAAGCCAATTTTGTTGACAAATTTTAACCCTTTACTATTCTCATGAGCTAGTACGTAGACACCATATCCCTTCCTCCCTTTCTCTATATAAACCCCATGCAATCTCCCGGGAGGAGATAACTTAATTATCTCGATCGATATCAAAACTCCCAAGTCATGGCAATGAAATATTCACGATCTTTGCTCTTTCGTGTGCTGCTACTCATTGGCTTTGCATTGACAAATAGCAAAGGAACTAATACGGATCCACCTGTTCTTTGCGAATTTCTCAATCGCAGCAGTTTTGAACCAGGGTTCATATTTGGCTCAGGTTCCGCATCTTACCAGGTTAGTATATATATGTATTATATATATATATATATATATATATATATATCTTCTAGATTATTTACCATATTTTTGGTGAACTTTATACATGCAGTTAGCATCCATGCATGAATTATAATGTTGACATCTTCCTTGCGTGTGTAGTAGTACTCTTACGTATATGGATGTCTATATATTTCAGTATGAAGGTGCAGTAAAAGAAGATGGAAGAGGACCAAGCATATGGGATACCTACACCCACAAACATCCAGGTCTGTGATTTAATCAATTGGTAATTAATATGAAAACTTGAGCTACATCATTTCAAAGGAGTATAAATAGCACCTCATTCTTTTCTTCGTGAGGACAAGTAAACTCCAACCTCTCTAAGAACCATGCACTTTGTTGGGAGACCAATAGTACATGGTCATGTGATATGTACAATATACGTATATACTTTGTATAAAAAGTACTTTGCACATGATATGGATTTCACCATTATGTTTTTGAATAACTGCAGAAAAAATCGCTGATGGCAGTAACGGAGACGTTGCTATAGATCAATATCACCGCTATAAGGTCTAGAACCTGTTAACTCTGTCTCTTGACCCTTTATACTTGAAGGGCACATGTTAACATATTAAATTGGAGCCTTTATAAAAAAAAAAAAAAGTACAATGTTTAATGAGATCCTCAATATTTAAACTTTTGTCATTCTAGGAAGATGTGGGCATTATGAAGGATATGGAGTTGGATGCTTACAGATTCTCTATTTCATGGTCCAGATTATTACCAAGTAAGTTGGTCCACATCCTCATATTTCGTTGGGACCAATGTCAATATTGTGCATAAGAATTATTTTTCCTACAAGAAAATTATTCTTTTTATATACTTTTAACTAAAGTAATGTGATTGAGTTATCTACTGTGTAACCCTTTTTTTTTTTCTTGTTATTTTTGTTCTAATTAGATGGAACGTTAAGTGGTGGCGTTAACATGAAAGGAATTGATTATTACAACAATCTCATCAATGAACTCCTACGCAATGGTTAATCATCCTACCTTAAACAATTATTACATGATTTTTTAGAACATCATTCTATCAGACTTTTAATTTGATTTTAGTGATCATGTATTATAGGTTTAAAGCCGTTTGTAACACTCTTTCATTGGGATGTTCCCCAAGCTTTAGAAGATGAATATGGTGGTTTCTTAAGCCCTCGTATTGTGTAAGTGAACAAAATTTATTTCCTCATTGATAATTTGATAAAATACATACTGATATATGTAACATAAATTTGTATCTACAGAGATCATTTTAAAGACTATACAGAACTTTGTTATAAAGAATTTGGTGATCGAGTCAAGCACTGGTTCACTTTAAATGAGCCACATACTTTTTGTAATATGGGTTATGCTCTTGGGAGTTACGCACCGGGACGCTGCTCTTCTTGGCAAAACCTAAACTGCACCGGTGGAGATTCATCCATTGAACCATACTTGGTGGCACACCACCTTCTTCTTGCTCATGGAGCAGCTGTAGAATTGTACAAGAACAGATATCAGGTTCAATAACTGTTTTTTTTTTCTTTTTTTTTTTTGGGTCAAATTATTGACACTTAATTGAGAATTCTATATTAATCCTTATTATTGAGTTGACATACAAGAGGGAATACTCTCGGTAGTAAGATAATCTAAAGGTTGTATCTTTTTCTATAACCCCTATTTATTCAACCAAAATTCATATTTTTGCGTAGGCATCTCAGAAAGGCTTGATAGGAATAACGTTGGTGTCCCATTGGTTTGAGGCTGCTTCGGAGTCAAAGCAAGACAAAGATGCTGCCTTACGATCTTTGGATTTTATGTTTGGATGGCAAGTATCTTATTAAATTATATATAAACCCAATTACATGTTTACTTATGACTTGTAACATTGACACTACCTAGCTAGCAGTACTCTTTTTATATAATGCTATAATTCAGCTTATATTTGGAATTGTCATGTTTTGTAGGTTTTTGGACCCATTAACAACTGGTGACTATCCACACACCATGCGATCAATTGTTGGAAAAAGATTGCCAAAATTCACAAAAGAACAATCCAAGTTGCTAAACGGATCGCTTGATTTTCTTGGAATAAATTATTATACTGCTAGATACGCAACTAGTACACCTAAGAACAATTCACAACCGGCAAGCTATGTAACAGATCCTCAAGCTGATCTTACGAGTGAGTGCCAGGGGAAACTTACTTTGAATAGCTTAAGTTCTTTGTTCTTCTTGACCAAGTTTAACTTCTGAATTATGTTAATTATATTCTAATATTTACACCAATTGTATTCTAATGTTTGTAAATATTGTGTCAGCTGAGCTTAATGGAGTACTTATTGGTCCACAGGTATACATCAAATTTATCATTTTGAGCTATTTGCATTTGGAGGATTAGTTTTTTTCCCCAACATTTACGTATTATCTTGAAACGGTGTTGCAGGCTGCTTCAGATTGGTTATATGTATATCCAAAAGGAATTCACGATCTTGTGCTCTACACAAAGGAAAAATATAATGATCCACTCATTTATATTACTGAGAATGGTATGTAATACACCCTTTTAAGCCTTAATTATTTGCAAAAGTTTCACCTATTTATAATGGTGTAAAATCAAACTACACGTTTTTTTATATTTTTGGAGGAAAAAAATAAATTTAATTTTTTGTGCAATAATATGTATGTAGGTGTATCAGAGTTGAATAATCCAAAACTATCACTTAACGAGGCTCTTCATGATACCAGTAGAATTGACTACCATTACCGTCACCTGTGTTACCTTCAAGCGGCGATCAAGTAAGTAGTTATTAACAAATTAATTAAGGCTATATGCTTCCTAGCCTTCTTAAGTTATGGTCATTTAATCATTATATTGACCTAATCCATTTGAACATTTGTGTATATGTGTGCAGAAATGGCGCGAAGGTGAAGGGATACTTTCCATGGACATTGTTGGACGACTTTGAATGGGCTTCTGGATACACCGTCCGATTTGGATTAAACTACATGGATTATAATGATGGGCTGAAAAGGCACCCAAAACTCTCAGCACACTGGTTCAAAAATTTGCTTAAGAAGAATTGAAGAAATTAAAAGAAAGTTAATGTTCATTATAAACATTTAAGTGGATAATTTTGCTATTTATGTATTTGTATTTCAATTCCTTTTGCATTTGTGTTTCCTTTCAATAATGTAAGTATTCTTTGAGATTCAATAATTCAATAAAAAGCTATAAGAGCTGTGAATGCTACAATAAAACCTCTCTCTATAAAGGAATAACTTATTTATAGGGGTAAATTACACTTTAACACCTTAGGTTTGGGGTCTATTACAATCGCATACAACATCTTCACAACATTTCACTTTCATATCTCACCTACTATTTTATTTCAATATAGTATCTCCGTTACATTTTTCATCCATTGATCCGTTAAGAGCTGACGTGGCTGCCACATTTGTGCCATATTGCTGCCAAATTTGTTCCATGTGGCAAAAAAAATAATTTTTCATTCATTTAAAAAGAATTAATTAAAGAAAAGTTAAAAAAAATTAAAAAAAAAAAAGAAAAAAAAAACCATAACTCATGTTCTTCCCTAAGACCCCTTCTTCCCTTCAACCTAAATCGCCCATCCCACCTCACTCCTACCTCCCCCGCTACACCCCCCTCCCCGCCCCACCCCACCCCACCCCACCCCATCCCACCCCACCCCACACCCACCTCCCCCCCACCCTACCCTACCCAACCCCCACCTCCCCCGCAACCCCTCAACCCACCCCAAACCCCAAAATCAAAAGGGGGAATTGAATTCCTAAGACGAAGTGAGGGAGTGAAAGTTTTGGGAAGGGCAAAGTAAAGGGAATTCTAGAGGGAGAAAGAAGAGAGATAGAAGAGAGAGAAAGAAGGGAAGTGGACTGAGAAGGAGAAAGTAGCTACAAGACCCAACCCGTCTTCTTCTCCATGTCTTCGTAGGGGTACCTCTGTGTGTCTTCTACAACTCTCGCTTCCGTAGGCGCACCTCTGTGTGTCTCGGTGGGGAGGGTTGCAGTGGAACAGGGTGGGGGGTTGCGGATGAGGTGGCAATTGGATGAGGTAGGGATGGGGTGGGGTGGGGGGGGGGGGTGGGTTGTGGAAGAGGTGGGGGTGGGGTGGGATAAGGGTTTTATGTTGCAGGGAATGGGGTGTCTTGGGGAAGAAGATGGGTTATGGGTTTTTTTTTTTTTTTAATAACTTTTCTTTAATTAATTATTTTTAAATGAATAAAAATAAATTTTCCATGTGGCACAAATTTGGTAGCCACGTGGCACAACTGTGGAAGCTATGTCAGCTCTTAACGAATCAATGGATGAAAAATGTAACGGAGGTACTATATTGAAATAAAATAGTAGGTGAGGTATGAAAGTGAAACGTTTTGAAGATGTGGTACACGATTGTAATGGACCCCCGACCTGAGGTGGTAAAGTGTAATTTACCCTATTTATAGTCATAAACTGTTATGGTCCCAGTTTGAGTTCAACTATAAATACCACATTGTAATAAGTTATCATTTTTATTGGTCCTGTTGTAAAGAAACTTGCCTCGACATGGCACAATAATAAGCAAGGCCACAAATAAAAGTTTAACATGGACTAAAATATTTCTCTACTGTTGTTTGGGACGATCTTTTTTTTTTTTCGGAGTTGATACCACAACTTGGAGCTTGCAGGTACGTAAGTAAAACCTGGTCAATATCGTCTTGTTGAAGTCAAAATATTTCCAGCTCCTCATGATTATCTTTTTCCCCTTCTTGCCTAATTGTATTGGTGATTATTTTTTCAATTAAAGCGAACTCAACTTTTTGCACAACTTAACTCAAATGTTTGCAATTAGCTGACTTTGCATATGACCTTGGGTGACATGACAAATTTGGTAGAAGAAAAGAAAAAGTATAAGCTTGAAATGGTCGAAGATTGGATTGTATGTATTTGCCAAATTTACTTAGAAAGAAGAGTTAAAGAGTTTTAAAACTTGTGCTATATACTACAAATATCTATTTTTTATTCCTAGTTAAACATAAAGATGCTATTAGATTTTAATATGTTCCACCTGTTTAATACAGTTTCAAAACTCATGGCATCTGCGGGCTCAATTGCTTGCAAGAAACTATTTACAAATGTTGATGCACAAAATCAATGAGAATTTGGAACGATGTAAAGTGTTAAGTTTGTAACCTTCGCAAGGTTGCTCTGGTCACTAGGCGAGGATAATATGTAAAGAGATATTGGTAGGGAAGCAACACAAGATGTACGTGGTTCACCTTAAATTGGGTTACGTCCACGAGGGTTGAGGAGTCCTCATTAATAGTGAAGATTTTACACAAGACATAAGTTTAAGCATAATCATCGTTAGTGAGTTCTAATCACAAGTTTAAGCACAATAATGACATTAGGAATTAATTGTACGTGAACAGTCTCCTTGTATAGTTGATGAGAGTCTTCGGCTCCCGTCGCGATTGATGTGGGACTCTAGGAGTTTTATTTTTATGTTGATCTGTGTGGTGTTGTGATTGGTCTCTTGATTGCTGAGAAACTCGTGTGCTTCGGCAAGGGTGCCTCCACATGAACTCTTCAATGGGTCCTTGAAAATATGAAGTTGACCGGTGCTTAGTAGTTTTGGGGGTGGTGAAGTATGAAACAAACAATGCTCCCCCAAGTTCTTGAGTAAGGAAAACTTCTCGGTTAGGGACTTGGAAAACCCAAGTTACTGAGTACTCAAGAAACTTTCGAGTACTAAAGTGTATTACCATATTATGGGTGTCCTCCAAATCTCCAATCAAGAAGGATTATTGAAGGTAGTGTCTTATGTTTCCCAAGTCATTGAAGAAAAAAGACTTTTAAAAAAAATTCCTCTTTGTTTTTGGATGTAGCCCAAGTACATATATATATATATATATATATATTTTTTTTTTTTTTTTTTTTTCTTAAGCCCAAATCCCTTTTTTTTTTTAATTTATTTTTTTTGTTGAGAAAAGAAAATCTGGTTGAAGTTTTTTCATTTGTGTATATAACTTGAGTGGTTGAAGCTTTTTCCTTTGGACAAATGGCGTGAACGGTTGAAGTTTTCCCTTTGGGCACGTAGCTTGAGTGGCTGAAGATTTTTCCTTTGGACACATAGCTTGAGTGCTTGAAGCTTTTTCCTTTGGGCACATAACTTGAGTGGTAGAAGCTTTTTCCTTTAGGCACATCACTTGAGTGGTTAAAACTTTTTTCTGTGGACACTTAGCTTGAAAGGTAGAAGCTTTGTTGGCCTCCTCCACATGTCATAACATAATTAATTAATTACTTAATTAATAATCAATAATTATTTATACTACTATTAATTTTTATTTAATGTCGAATTTTTATTTTTAGCCTCCCTCCCCCCCCCCCCCCCAATTTTTTTTGAACTAGAGACAAGAAAATGTAGGAGTGACCACATAAATTTCCACGTGTGTGAGGCAAACCAGATGTTGTAGTAATTGAAGGTTCGGAGGAAACATATAAATTGATTTTGCCACACGGTCTTGATCAAGAGTGTGAGACCAATTTTTTTGTTGGGTTATTCTCGCATTGTTGAAGAGTTACAGAATTGGCACAATATGATTTTTCCTTGGACACTATGGTGCATTACCCACCGAAGTTTTGATTTACCATCGTTGGTAAGTAAACCTAATATATAATGCTTGCATGTTGTCAATGTGGCTGTGTAGTTTATCGAAGCTTGCGACTTCGAAGTTCTTCTAAATGTTGGAGTAGAAAATGCCTGAGGCTTTTAGAAAGCCTACAAATGAGTTTTCTTGGAACTATATCCATGGGAACCCAACTAATTTATCGAACCTACAATGTTTGACCTTCTGGTACAGTTGAAGGAGATGTTAATAACGTTTCATACTGCATGGTGCAAATTAAGCCATTGAATAGTTGAAGCCTATATGTTGCTTGAACCCTTTTGGAAGCTATATAAATTTATTGACCTCCCAATAGTTGCCTTCCGAACCTACATTGGGTTTGTAGTGTTTGCATTGTTGAAGAGAGGAATATTTGAAGTTGATGTAAGAGGGCTGAAGAGTTTTGCAAGTGACCGCTTCACATTTTGATGTCAAATAGTCTTGTAAAAGTTTAGCCTTTGTATACGATATGTAGCTTTCTAGGTTAATAAAGCTTCAGACTTGTCAAACTATTACACATGCAGAGAAGCCTTTGTTGGCTTATTAAACCATCATTACTGTTCAACGATAAAATTATATATTAGAGTACAGGTAGTACCCTTCATCACCTGGTTGGTGATACAAGGTGAGTCCCTTCATTACCTGGTTAGTGAAAAGAGTGGAGTACTCGTTGTACTTTCCATCACCTAGTTAGTGGACGAAGGTGAGTTTCTTCATTACTAGTTGATGGAAAGTGTGGTAATTTTCCAAAGGAAAGAAATTATTTATTAGAGTATGAGTTGTACCTTTCATCACCTAGTTGCTGATACGAAGGTGAGTTCTTGCATTACCAAGTGGGTGAGAATAATGACGAGTTGTCGAGGCACATTGTAACACATGCCAAAGGGAAAAGTGTATGTTGACACCTACTGTGAAGGCCCTGAGTGCTATTTTATAATCTACTATAGTGCAAAAAGAATACTCGTGGCTGAAGCTACTGGCATATTCATGCAATGACTAGTTTGACTTCTGATGAATGGTGTACAAATCTTCAGCAGAGTGTAAGCAATCAGCCTAGAAGATGCGTAGTATAATAATCTATTGTATTAGGTTGAAGGCGACAATACCAATTGAGAGG